TTCCTCAGCACTTCCCGGGAACGCGCCCGCAAAGTCCGCGAGTCTGCAATTGTGATGAAGTCTGGACATTTGGATTCAGCCAAACCAGTGACACAGCCAGGGCTGTGATCCTGTGGGCTACAGCAACACTAAACCCCTGAGCTTGCCTGAGAAGGACTAAATGCACAAAGCTGCTATTTTTAAATATCCCATGGAGAGAGACTCTCACTGCAGCCTGTTCTATTTTGTTGTGAAAATGTGGGCGTGCAGCCTCGTTCTGTGGACGATAAACCAGGTGCAGACTTCCATCTGTGTCACCGCTGATGAGGAAATACAGCGAGTGCTGGACGGAGCAGTGAGTGACAACAACCCCGCCCACATTTAAGAGGACTGTCTGAACACACCGAGGGTCTAGGTACCATGTCTGAAGGCTTACTGCTGGCTCCAAAGGTGCTGGACTGAAAGGGTTTAGTTCATCTCTTCACTACACAGCCTCTCACATTTCATTAGTTTCAACAAGGCTGCATCGAGAAAGAAAACAGTGCTGGGTGAAAAAAAACAAACAGATTAATTCGAATGAGACCTCTCCATTGATGCACAGAGGTGCCAATGTGGAGGACTTTGGCAAAAAAATGCAGCATTGTCCACCAAAAATGTTGAATGTGACTCAGCTCTTGTCGCAACACAATGCAGCGTCCTCTGCTGAGAGACTGCGTGTTAATGACTGTGACCTGCCTGTCACCTTTAGTTTGTTTACAGTAATAATATGAATGACCTGCAGCAGAAGGTCACACGCTTCATTTCACCACCTGATAGTGCATGGAAATCAGAGTCCAAGCTCTGTTCGCACCAGCCAGTGAGATGAAGATGTTGGTTTTACATAATTACTTCAGGATGTCCTGAACCACTCACAGCAAACCAAATATGTGTCCCTGTCTGAGAAAATATAATGTTGAGACTGCATGTCAGAGAAGGACATCACGTCAGTCTTGTAACATTATATACTGCATTTATAAAGCACCTTTATCCAAAACTGGAGGGCAGGTGCTGTCCGAGTATGTACAGTTTGGAGTTTAGTGTCTTGCCTGAGGACACTTTGACATGTGGACAAACACAGTACTTTCCAGTAAGATAAAGTCTGCCATAAAAAACACTCCCCTCTAAACACTAAGTGCAAACAATCATCATGTAACAAGCAATAATAATACGGGCTATATCTTTAGTTTCACCTGAATCATTGTAACTTAAGTTACACGTCAGTTCACATCAGACTTAGGTGTTTTAACAATTAATTTGATATCTGCTCAGCTGGCACAGACATACATGACTTCAGTCAGGGTATCACTGGATACTTCGTAATTCATTTGTAATTTAAAAACAGACCAAACTGAGAGATTTAAACCAAAAGCAAGAAACAAGAACACAGAGACATTTTTCCTTTTTTGTAGCAGAATCAAAAAAACAAAAAACAAATCCAAAGCGGCCTGTTTTTGGTTTATGGCAATTCCTATTTTCCTTTATCATTTTAAGATGAAAAACAGAAGTCACTTGTTTTTTTCGTTTCATTTTAAACCAAAAACAGAACAGAAAATGAAATCAGATTCAGATTCAGATTCAGAATACTTTATTAATCCCCGGGGGGAAATTGTTTTTGTTCCAATGCTCCGTGCAAAGTAGAAATAGAAATACAGCATGAATGGAAACAAGAGATAAAGATGAAGATATAAATAAAATACTAAAATAGACAATAAAATAAAATATTAAAGTAGACATTAAAATAAAATAAAATAAAATATTAAAGTAGACAATAAAATAAAATAAATAATAAAATAGTAAAGTAGACAATCTGAAATACATGTAATTATATTGTGTGTTTTGTTTTATAAATAGCCAAATGAGTCCGATCATCAGAGGGAGGAGTTGTACAGTTTAATGGCCACAGGTAAGAATGACTTCCTGTGGCGCTCAGTGGTGCATTTAGGAGCAATCAGTCTCTGGCTGAAGGTGCTCCTCTGTTCGACCAGAGCGTTGTGGAGAGGGTGAGAGCCATGCTGAAGTATCGCCTGCACCTTCGACAGCATCCTCCTGTCTGACACTGCTGTCAAAGGGTCCAGCTCCACCCCCACAACGTCACTGGCCTTTCTGATCAGCTTGTTGAGTCTGTTGGCATCGGCTACTCTCAGTCTGCTGCCCCAGCACACCACAGCAAACAGAATAGCACTGGCCACCACAGACTCATAAAACATCCTCAGCATAGTCCGGCAGATGTTAAAGGAGCGGAGCCTCCTCAGAAAATAGAGGCGGCTCTGTCCCTTCTTGTAAAGGACTTCAGTGTTCTTAGTCCAGTCCAGTTTATTGTCAATGAACACACCCAGATACTTGTAGTGTTCTACGATGTCCACGTTATGCCCCAGGATGGAAACTGGGGTCACTGGTGTCCTAGTTCTCCTCAGATCCACCACCAGCTCTTTTGTCTTTGTTGTGTTGAGCTGCAGGTGCTTCAGCTCACACCATGAGACATGGTGTATTTGTTGTTGTTTTTTTTTGAATGAAAAAAAATGAAATGCCAATTTTGTTTTTTGCTGATTCCTTTTCGCCATTTCTCCCTTTGAACAGACACAGTGGACGGACAGGGAGTGGAAGTGAAGTGTAAAAAAATCAAGTTATTTATCGCACAGTCAAAAGGGCACATCACATGACATCATGAATACAGATTACAGTATTATGTAGGCCTATGTAACGTGTAACTCAGCCTACGTCAGTCCTACCTCTCCAACAGAACCTTCTCTGTTGCCCTGGGTAATGTCTCTTCTTCCTCAGCCCAGTTGAGGTGTGGGGTCCCTCAAGGCTCTGTACATGGTCCTCTTCTGTTTTCCATATACATGCTACCTCTTGGCCAGGTTATCCAGACTCATGATGTGCTTTACCATTTCTATGCAGATGACACTCAATTGTACATAAAAACCACAGATTCTTGCAGCCTATCTAATCTCTCATCTTGCCTCTCTGACATTAAATCCTGGATGTCCCAAAACTTCCTCAATTCAACGATGATAAATCGGAAGTCATTCTGTTCGGTCCCCTAAAGTTCATTAACTCCGCTGGTGCTAATCTGGGAGAGCTGTCAAAGAATATTAAGCAGGCTGCCTGGAATCTAGGTGTGATTTTTGATGCCAAACTCTGTTTTAATAATCAAGTCAAAAGTCCTGTTCAGTCTTGTTTCTTTCAGCTCAGGATGATTGCGAAAATTAGGTCATTTCTATCGCTCACACACCTACAAAAAGTTATTCATGCTTTTATTTATTCGCAACTTGATTACTGCAATGCACATTACTCAGGTATTAGTCAGAGCTCCATCCGTCATCTCCAGTTGGTCCAAAATGCTGTTGCCCAACTTATTACTGGGACAAAGAGGCAAGAGCACATCACCCCTGGGCTTGCCTGCCTACACTGGCTCCCTGTTAGTTCTCTAATTGATTTTAAAATTTTATTACTCACTTTTAAGGCCTTAAATGGTCTAGCGCCAACATATATTACAGACTTACTGACGTGTATGTGCCCTCTCGTCCATTGAGATCCGCGGATGGAGCCCTGCTGGTTACTCCCAGCTCGCAGTTTGTGACAAACGGAGATTGTGCTTTTGCTGTTAGAGCCCCCACACTCTGGAATGCGGAGGCACACTAAGTCCCTTGCCTTTTTTAACTCTCGTCTTAAAACCTTTCTCTATGTAAAAGCGTTTGTGAATGTTTGACTGCTTTTAATTTATACTGTTTAAATTAGTTTTTTTGTATTTATTCATTTGAACTGTTTTCTGCTTCTTGTTTGTCAGTCTTTTAGTCACTTGCCATGTCTGTTTTACCTTATTTGGTTTTATCTCTTCTTGTTAAGCACTTTGTAACATTGTTCAGAAAAGTGCTCTATAAATAAAGAATATTATTATATTATTATTATGATATTATTATAACTTGTTGTTAGCAAGGTTATCATAAACACTAATTATTTTTCAGATTCAGTTTTACATACAAAGCATTTCTAGAATATGATGCATGACAGCACATAAAATAGTTCATCACTTCCACCAGTGCATTTTTTTTTATTTTTTTTTTGCTACTTTATTTTTCTTTATTTTTTGTTAATTTTGTTTAATAAAAAAATGAAAGAAAAGATGTTTTAAATAGCCACACACTTTAACTTAATTTTTGGGTTTCATGATTGTAGTATTACTACTTCTACAGTAATTATCTTATACTGATGTTCATAATTATAACACATATGTAAATGTATGAACCCTCCAAATGGCTCTGTAATAAACTGTAGTGTCTGTCTGCGTCTCCCCCAGTGCATGCTGGGATAAGCTCCAGCCTCCAGAGACCCTGAATAAGCAGCACTGGATAGACGGACATTTAATCTGACTGTTATCAGACAGGTTAACCCTTCTTCACACTAACACCTGCTGCTCTCATGTCTTTGTGTCGTAATGTTCTTAACGACCGAGTTAAAGGTCACACGCTCAATTTCACCGCCTTGATTTGTATGTTTCTACATCCTGTTTTCTAAAGTCAGGAACAAATGAATGACATGTGTTTGCATAATTAATTCAGAGAAGGAGGAGACGCTGAATAAATGAAGGTGAATACTTCACACAGGTTTGAGATGTGTCGGGACAAACTGTGGAAACACGAGCTGGAACTTTCTGAGGTACGTCTGATGATCTTAATGTGTGTATGTATCTTCTTTGATCACAACCTGGGAGTGTTACAGAGATCATGAAACTGCTGAATGTGTTGTGCATGTTCTTATTTCCAGGATGAAGAAGACACTGCTGTTTGTGCTCAATCTCTCAGGTCAGAGACATGATTGTGTGTGAGCGTTGTGTGTGAGGCAGTGGGACAGACACACAGATGTAGCTTCAGTGTAGTATCACAGTGCTGAATCACACAGACAGTCTCCAGTAAAAATGATGTGTATGCATTTATTAAAGGTTGTGTTTGCTGCATGATTATTGTGTCACAGTAGGAAACATGAGTGTAAATGAACAACAGTGCTTTATCCATCAGGGCTGTGTGCTCTGTCTACAAACATCATCAGAGAGTACCACTATGTGAAGATGTTAAAGACCTGGGCTGAAGCTCAGAGCTACTGCAGAGACACCTTCACTGACCTCGCCACTGTGCACGACAAAGAGGACAACGACAGGCTGATGAGAGTCCAGGAAGGCCACGGAAAATATGCCTGGATAGGGCTTTATGATGACATTAAAGGATGGAAGTGGGCGCTGGGAGATAAAGACTTAAACGATGAATTCAGCAACTGGAGGGAAAATGAGCCAAACAATATGATGTCCAAGCAGGGCTGCGTCGTGATGACACAGGACGGGTTTTGGGATGACAATAGCTGTATGAGAACTCGTCCTGCAGTCTGCTACAATGGTAAGAGAGGTCTGTTTATTGGTGCAAGTTGCTTTATTAAAACTCAGCACAAATGAAATTTTCACAGGGAAGTCAAAACCTGAAGCAGAAACTTCATTTAACATAAATTATAACTTAAATTTAAACGAGGGCTGTAAAGTGATTTAAAATATTAATCTAATTAATGACATGCTCTGTCATTATTAATCTAAATGAATCGCATACATCAACTGTTGCAGTGAAAGTATTTAAAGAAATTAAAACTCAACTGAATTTTGGCAAATGTGTCATAAAGCTGCTGGATTTTGGACTCAGTTGTCCCCGTGTCCTCCACATCCAAAACTGGTCTGCAGTACATTTTGCAAGGCAGTTAGTTAGTCAGTACAGGCACATCCAGACTTTACCATATTTGCAGACCAGTGTTGTGTGTTACAGTAACGTAACTACTTTTATTGGGTAAAAAGTAGTGTAACGCGTTACTACTGAAAATATGGTAACGGAACGTAGTTACTTTGTCAGTTGGGCACAACGTTACTTTTTCCGGGGACAGATTTGACGGTGACACTGCCTGTCTGCCTCAGCTGCGCACTAGGCAGGAACTGTGACAGTTGCCAAGTCAACAGTACAGACAGGAGCGCCAAAATCAAGAATCGTATGAGGAATATGGAAGATACACACGTCTCCTCTGATTATTTTAACGGTTTGTCAACCGAAGACAGGTTAGCTTATTGTAATAAGCTAACAATTAGCAACGGAGTGAGGTTTCCTGACCCGTACTTAATGTTGGGTTAGTGGGTCACTGACCCAACGAAATGGCCTAAGCTACAGTGGCCGGACATTTTTTTATATTTTGTGGAGAAACCCGGCGTTTATACGCATGAAAAACTCAAGGCATATAAATCCCTTGATGTGTATAATTTTGTACTTTGCGGTCATGTCCAAGATATTGAATACCGGGATTTATCTGATGGTTTTTGTGCTCTACGGACCGAAGTACTGCCGAGCCAGCGACAAGGACACAAAACAGTAACGTTAACTAATGTACAAGACCTGGGCGATTCTGAACAAGTCGACCAACTATATACTGACAGCGAACTGCACTTGTATGGCTGGGTAAGTGTTGTTTAATGTAACGTTAACCTCGCTAGTCAGACCTCAGACATGGGCAACATACGACCCCGGAACCTCAAAGGAAATCAAAACGACCCCCAAAACATCAATAAAATGCAGCATTGTGTTAACAGAAAACAGAACAATCATAACCTGCCTACCTTCCTGGCGCTGTGTGAACGGCAGCCTGTTGCAGCAGCTCCTAGTTTGTGTATTTTAAATTGCTGCTGTGACATTGAAATTTCCCCCCGAGGGGTTAATAAAGTACCTACCATACCATACCAGAAGAGAAAATGAATTAATTTATTCGTGCAGGTCTGTAGCTTACTGCAAAGTATGAGTCTGTTACACAAACACAGTCTCACAGTTACACACGTAATAACAGAACAGAAAATGATTTATTCATGAATATGACACTATTTGTTCAAAGATAGTGTCTGTGAATATTAATATTTTCCTCATTCAGTGATGCAGCAGGTCTGGCAAATAGGCTATTAGTAGTAGTAATCTGTCATGTAACAAATTCATGTAGCCTAGTTAACACAAATTAACTCTCACTCTTTAATCTTTATTTTATCACCAAAGTGGTAAATACCAGTGGGAAACTCGGATTTTTTCACATTTAGGAAATGAGATGGGGTTCTACCCAAAGTCATGCACCATAAAAGTAACGTAAAAGTAACGAGTAACGTAAAAGTTACTTTTCACAGAAGGTAACTAAGTAAAGTAAGGGATTACTTTTTTTAAGAAGTAACAAGTAACGAGCAAACACTACTTTTTAAAAGTAACTTCCCCAACACTGTTGCAGACTTTGCAAGCATGACTGTACCACAGTGGTAGACTTAACGATCCAAAGAGGAGAGCTGGTGATTTATACTGCAGGGTTGATTACTGGATGGATCTCAGGTGAGCAGCAGAGAGCAGGTGAGCTGAATGAATGTAATCAGGAACCCAGGAGAGTGAAGGAGTGGCCACGCCCACAGCACAGACACAGAGAGGGATCATTCCAATATCCCTCCTCCACTCCTCCACTCCTCTATCCTCGATCACTTGACCCGCAAATCAATTGAGACTCAACATCGTGTAGGACGCCTCAATTTGTAAAATGCACTCGGAGGAGTTGAGGAGAGAGGAGGCTTTCAGAGAAGAGGGAAGTGAGGATACACAAGTATATGCAGCCCTCCAGGATCTCGTGGCAAAAAAACCTTGAATTTGCAGCCAATTTTGTCAAAAAATTCAATGAAAATTGTTTTTTATGCGATTTTTTGCGGGAAATTGTAGCAAGTAACAAAAATTATAGCTAATGACAAAAGGAGAAAAAAATGTGATTTTTTTAAATTACTACCTCCAAAAAAATAAGTCATGTAATCACTTGTTATAATAATTATTCTGAATATTACAAAAATAGTTGCAAATGGTTTTTATAGATCTCTTCTTTAGTTTTATTTAATTAGTTTCAAAACATGGACTCCAATAATGTTGCAAGTGTAAATTCTTATGTCAATACAGAGCGCTTCTCCATACTGCAATGCCATTAGTGCATTTGATGACACGTCTGACGACGTTTCAAATGACGACGCATGCGTGCCGACTTCCAGTCGGCCGGAAAACGCGGAAAAATGCAGGAAAATCGTGGGACTTTTGAAAAATTGCAGACCCCCACAAATATTGCTGACTTTCATTGAATTTGCGTTTATTATTGGGTTCGCAAGAATTGCTGGAGGGACTGATATATATATATAACATTATGTGCGTGTTCGTAAGTGCTAATATCGTAGGCAACTGGAGTTGCTTGCCTTTCTTGAAGAACAAGCAAGTCCAGTTGCCTACGATATTAGCACTTACAATTACCATGACCTGGATGACTGAGAATCTTCACCAACATTATGTGTGTGCAGACGCAAACGCCATCAAAAGTTTCTATAGCTGGTAAAAAAACTTCCTGACAGCTGATCCAGCTGTGATCGGCCACCGTCGTCATTAGAAACAGAGGTCGCGTCACGTGCACGTAAAGGCCAGTTCAGACCAAAGATTCCAGACGCAACGAAACAGTCTTAGGACATTGCAGAGAAAAGTTGCAGTGGTCTGATGACTCAGTTGCACTCTGGACAGCTCATGCAGTTGCAAGGGATTCAACCTGGCAATGTGTTGCAAGACCATCTCAAACCTTGTAACCAATCAGCGCCAAGCTTGTGCATATTTTATTTATTTTTTTATTTTTTATTTTTTTACAGCTGGGTACCCACACATGGGCGCACACTGTGGCGGTTGCACACACACGGTAGTAAACATTAAATGGGGATCACTCACCTGTTGCCAGGAACCGCAGGGTTATCATCAGCCTCTTTGGAAATTTGTGTTCTGCATTTGAACGAGAGGTGTTATCAGCTTCTTCAGCTGGTGAAAATCGTTCGGAAAAAGTCGAGTAACATTATAAGAGGCTGGCGTGTCCTTCGCCTCTAATTCCATGTCCATGCACAGATTTGAATAAGCACCCTGGGTCTGGTGCTGCTCTAACCGACTCCAAGTCTATTATGTGCTCTTTGTCGGCGTCCTCGCCTTCTCTTATTAAGTAGCACAGCTACTAATAATGCTAAAGCCACAGTCAGATGTTTCAAAGACAGTGGGTGCGGTTACATGATAGCTTCTCATTCAGAATGAAATAAATCTGAATGAAATCATTCGGAATTAAAGTTTTTCCAGGTAGTTTACATGAGAAATATTCATTCTGAATGAGGGTTTACACAGAGATCAGTTTAATCGCCTTTTAATCGCCTTTATTCGGGTCTGTGCAAGGTTTGGGGCAGGGAAGGTTTCTGATTGGATAGGGGGAGGGGCGGATGTTACGTGTTTACATTTACCAGAAGAAAACACTGTAGTCCACGCTCCGGATAACAAGATGCTTGACGACGCTGTTCTTAGTGCCTTTTTCGGGCTTGTTTTGCTTATATTCTTGAAGCAGCAGTACGACAACAACCTTGTTCTGCTAATGCTTCGTCTGTTGAGGAGGAGAAGGGAGGTAGAAGGTCGAAGAAGAGAGATAGAAGACCGCGCTGTGGCGAATAGAAACCGGAGAGTGCAACGAGTCCGACTGCTCTATCTCAGCCCGTTGCTATGCACGCTATATACGTCATGGCGCCAGAAGGGCAAGGAAACGAGCATGTGCAGAAAGACTGTAATGAACTTAAAGAGGAATGAGTGTATACAAGTGAGAGAAATTCTTTCATTAAGAATTAGAAACGGAATATTCCAGCCCCTTACATCGGATTGAATTTTCAATCGCATTGGCCATTTTCATTCTGAATTAGGTGTTGACAAGATCACTTTTAACAGGAATGAGCTTTTATTCCGAATGAAAAGGGAATTAAACTGTCCATGTAAACGCACTCAATGCAATACAACGCAAATAAAAGGTAACGTTAGGGTATCTAACCAGAGACGGTCGTGTACAAGAAGAGTTGAGTGCTCTGCTGATGCATCCATGTGGGGTTTGTTGTGTTGTTCAGCTTTACCTTAAGTCGTAACATACCTGTTGCTTTAGAAACGACAGCGGTTTACGTGATGTCGCAAGAGCCAGTCTCAGCTCAGTGCCTCGGTGTGAACTGTACTGTTGCAAGCCATTGCAAAGCCATTCAGTTGCAAATGGGTGCACGTGGTTGCAAGTCACTGCAAAGGGAATCTTTGGTCTGAAGGCTGCTTCAGAGGAAAAGACGCCTCATTTCTCTACAGACATTATTCCTTGTTTGTTCTCTCCTTAAATCCTCGCATCTCTCCCCCGTGTCTTACGAGGGCAGAGCTAAAACGCGAGGCAGACACACAAGTGAGGGAAACGTGGATGTGAGATCAGATACTGGGATGAACCCAGAGAGACAGACGGGGGGAGGGGAAACTGAGAACAAGGAAAAATACAACTGGTGACATGGCGGCATAATGTTCCCTTTTTTTACCTTGGTAATCAGAGTCATTCTATAAGGAAGAACGAGCACAGCCCAACCTGATGTCCTTACTTCGTGTTTTCTTTCAGAAAAAGGTCCTTCCAGGTACATTTTAGTGGAAACTCAGATGACTTGGATGGAGGCTAGGACACACTGTAGGTCCAGCTACACAGACCTGGTCAGTGTGAGGAACATGTCTGAGAATAATAACATCTCCTCACTGCTCTCAGTAGCCACTTGGATCGGTCTCTCTCGAAGGACGTGGGCTCGCTGGTCTGACAAGACCCGCAGGACCTTCACTAACTGGGACACGAACCAGCCCGACAACAGTGGGGTCACTATGACATCATGCACTGCAGTCAACACAATCACAGGAACATGGTTCGATGCTGACTGTGAGGCAAGGAACCATTTCATCTGTCAAACGGTGTCTTATCCACCTACTCAGCACAAAACAACCCTGAAGTTAAAGTTCCGGTCTGAGGCGGACCTGAATGACCCGGCTGTTCAGCAGCAGATGTTGGAGCAGGTAATGTTTGAAGGTGCTAAACGTATCCCTGGCTAGGGTTGTTGAAATCAAAAGAAAGTGAGAAGTCTCTGGGTTGTGTCTTTTTCAATCTTAGCTTACATTATCTGCCAGTGAAAAAAGACCAAAGGAGGATGTGTGTTAAAGGCTGTGATGATGTGATATTCACAGATTTCACTTTAATTTCTCAAACCTTACAGCTGCACGCTAAACTGGAGAAACGTGGATTATCAGACTTTAAACTCAGCTGGATTCAGACAGATGGGCAGACGTTTCACAAGGAAGAGAAGAAGAAGAAGAAGAAAGACAAAGGTATTCTCTGTTGGGTTTTTTCTAAATGGTAGACATAATAGAGTTTTTGTGTGTTTGTTACTTTAATGAACAACATATGCTCATACAATGGTTTGTAAGACATCTGCACACACAACAGTTCGATATTCTACAAATGAGCTTAGTGTAGAAAAAGGCGTGAAAAAATTCACATGGCCCCGATTAGCGGTCTCCTTGGGAAAGTCCTGTGTTTTTGTGATCCATCCACGATCCTGACCTGTCTCCCAACACTCAGGACCGCCTCCTTCTTTACTCCCGTCAGCGCTTTGGTCACATGATTGCAGACGACCAAAATATGTTGGCTCTGCACAAATTTCTGGCACTCTTTGTAGGAAAAAGTACAAACAGTGAGAACAGCCTGAATGGAAAAAAATACCTTTTCACTTTAACACTGAAAGTACGGGTGCTTTCAGTCCTAGAGTTGGTTGGTGTCCTCACGGCAGCATTTACAAGAGGACCAGATCAAATGCCTTGTGTGAGAAAGCTGCTCTTGATTGGTCAGAATTTCCATGTGGGAAAAATCCAGGAAGTAAAGCAAACGTTGAAGAAGAGTACACTTGCAAGATAAATGTGACACTTTCTAATGTCACAATGGAGGGACAACTACGCAGGTTGATTTTAGCACTGCTCATCGTGGACTATATTGCTGTCATTGTTCATTTTAGTCAAACCATACAGTTTGAAAACGAGGCGCGGCTCCAACTAGAAAACAATGTTTTGATGCATTGGATGTGCTGAATGTGCATATTAAGGCAGTACAGGAGGAGGTGCACATTAATAATCCTCCAGGACTGTAACATGCTCATGTTTAACCCAAACAATGTGTCATGTGACTGCAGTTGCTTCACATCCAGGTCAGAACACCTTCTCACCACAAACCAACCGCACCAGAGTTCCTTTGGAACCGGACTGAGACCACCTCTTCAAGAAGGTCTCGGTCCGGTTGTTTTGGTGTGTTCACACCTGCACAAACGAACCGCACTGAGGAGGCAAACGAACTTGAGCTTGACTGAACCGAATGATGCTTTGTTCAGTTAGAATAAGCAGCACAGAGACTGTGAACAGCTAGCCTGGCTCCGTCCAAAGGCTCTTCTAAAGCTCACTTACATCACTCATAGGTTGCTAATTTATTAGATATATGAGCCATTGTATGGAGATATGTTCCCAGATTTGTTTTTCCAAAATATCAAACTGTCTCTATTAACCACAATTTCCATTTTCTACCTTTTTTAGGGTCGTGTGGCTGAGCGGTGATTGTGCAGAGGACATTTAACTGCTGCTGTGACACAATGTTTCAGTTCTATGTTTAGTTTAAGTGTCACTGTGGACTCTCTACACCATCAGGGGTAATCAATACGTTTTGTGTGTTAATGTGTTTGGTTGCAGTACATTATATATCATTTGTCTGTGTTGTCCATTTTTATTACTCAAAATATTTATTTCACAGGATTTTTTTGCTTGTTTTCAGCGTAACAAAATGTCCTGCCTGTGACTTCAGAGCATGTAGTGAGAGAAATATAAACATATTTTTGTTTATGTCATATTTAAATGTTTTATGAGCGCTTGCTGAGTCCTTTGAAATCTGAATCGTTTAACGCTTGATGTCTGAAAGTCTCTTCCGGCTTTGAAAGATGTGACTGTGTTAGTGATCAGCATCGTAGTTCATCAGCTCTGATTCTCAGCAACACGTTTCTTACAATGTGTTTTATCTTTTATTTGTGTGTGTGTGATACTTTATTAAATATGAAACATTTAACGAGACTTTCAGCTTGAGGATGCACTGTAATTATTGCTATTGGTCTTAAGCAATTTAATCCCTGTATGTTTGAGATAGATGCTCCCACAATCTGACCAGAAAAGAAAAGATCTGATTTTACTGCCACTCAAGATAAATCACTGGTATTAACAAAGAAAGAGTATAACGTATGATTTAACTCTGGGATAATGTGCAGTGACTCAGTCATTGTTGCACAGTGAACCCTAACAGGTTGCTGCAGGACTTGAATCACCCTGAGGGGGGTCGTTTTGCAATAATGACCGATTCACTGAGCATTATCTCACTAACCACAGCTGCTTGATCAAGAAACCAACGCCTGTTCTTTTTAAGGAAGGTGAGGAGTTTTGATGTAGCCAGAAAAATCATGAACTTGTTCTAACCTGCTTTTATGGAGTGTGTTCATTCTTTTAACATTGTCTCTTGGTTCAGTAACCTGAGCCTTAAACACAAGAATAAATTAGAAAAAGTGGTCAAGTTGTGCCGTAAGGTCACTGGTGTTACTTTGAATAACCTCCAGCATCTGTATGAAGAGAGGGTCACCTCTAAAGCTCGGCCAGTTGTCTCAGACTCTCAACATTATTTTTTTTTGGGTCACTCTAATCAGAGTTGACTAGTACTTTGATTACTTTTTGCAGTGACGAGTAACCTAACGCGTTAGTTTGCTGTTTGAGTAATCAAATACTTAAGTACATTTTCAAATAAGACATCAGTTACTTCCGTTACTTTTAGAACGCTGGTCCTTCAGCTCCGAAACAGCAACGGCTGTCGTTTGGTTCTAATAACGGAGATAACGTTAAACCCATCAGTCTGAAAGAAGCCACGGAGCTTGTGGCTCACTACGTGGTCGGAGAAATGCTGCCGTTGTCTA